AGTTCATCGCTGATTGGTGAAGCACCGCCCGGGCCCTTCCCACCACCCTCAGGAGCATCTGAGAGAGAGGGGGGGAGGGGGTTAGAGAGAGAGAGAGAGAGAGAGAGAGAGAGAGAGAGAGAGGATATATATGACTGAATCAAAGGGATCTATGCAAACAGGTACAGTGTTGGGCAGTAAGGCAATATTAGTAATAATATTACAGTAATAATATTACTTTCCCCAGTAACTAGTGGTGTAACTAATTGTGTGTTCAATTCTAATATGAATTTGAAGTCGGTTTACTTAATGATAGAAAAGGGAAAAAGACTGGTTTTAACATAATAATAATTAACAAGAAGACCTAAAGAGGGATTAATAAAGGCAGAAAACCAGTCAAAGTGAAGGACACTAATAGGAATTATTCAGTATGACATTTACATACAAATGTAAAAAGGTATTTACAAGATTTATGCATTCACACACATTTCCAGAATCTTCCGCACAGCTTGATGGACAATTACTGTGCTTGTTAATTGGAACATTCCTTCAGAAGTTAACGCGGCCCTGAGAATGATTTCATTACTGTATGCTTGTCCTTTTGCCCTCGGATAGAAATGCTCACTAAATAATTGTGTGTAATTGCAAATATAATTGACATTGTGTCACAGAGCTGCTTTAGTTCAGTCTCATGTTATATAACTAACTAATAACATTAATTAAAGATGGCTGCATTTCATTTAGGTGTGGCAGTACTGTGCATGTTGAGGACCACGATGGAAATACGTCAGCTTTTTTTAATGTAAATATTTGTCGCAGTATACTAATGTATATTAAAGAGGAAATTAAATCAGAAGAGGCTTTTTACTGGTGTATCTTTATGCAACAAAGCATTGTTATTAGTAATAGTACAACGTGTGTGTTTCCTGCTCTGCAGAGTCAACATGTCTGCTGTGTGAGGGTCTATTGTGTCTTGTGTGCTCACTGACATGGGTTACTTGGACATAAAAATGCAGCAGTGCCATAATTGATGTAATTAACCGTGCTGTTTTAGCTGTGACGGGTCAAAATGTCTGCTGGGAAAAAGCCAGATGGTAAAAGACACAAAAAAAGAACACTGCATTGGTCACCAGTGATGTAGTGTTAGTAAAACCTCTTGATTTGCAGAAGCATTTACCAAACTGTATTTTAAGTTTTACAACCTGATTTAAAGCTGTGTCAAACTGTTCATTTAAACAAACAATCTGGAGGCTCTACTGCCAGAAATGCAATTTAGTATGCATAGGTATAGTTTCAGTAGTGTATAATCAATATGATTGGCGTTATGGTCGTCACCATGACAGTTTGTCAGAGCCAGTGGAGGTCATGTGTTGCGAGTTGAGCTGCTCGCCTGCTCACACAGGATCTGGTATTCCAGATAAACAGTAAAATATGTTTGTGAACAGATTTGAGGAGAGAAATAGTCAACAACAGAATCTGAATCCATATCTGATCAGCACTGTTTGACAGTTTGATCTGAGTTTGGTGCGTTGAGCTGGACGGACTCACTGAGAATGAGCTGTCAATCACAAGGTAGCCCCGCCCTAAAGCATACCCTGCTTTATGGTCTGTTTTACTCTAAATGGGACCATCAGTTACTAAATGAACATCATGCTGTATGGAAGAAGACTGAAACTAGAGACTGAGACCAGAAACTCATCAGGAAACTGTTTACTGTTTACATTTCTCCATAAGACTGAATGGTATCTGTGTGTTATTGCAACCAGTGTAGCTCCCCCTGCTGGCTGTTACATAGAATGCAGGTTTAAGACAGTTCACTGTCTGTTATATTTACGTCGATGGTGTAGACGCAGCGGCTCACCTTCCATGTATTTCTTTATTTCCGACAGAGAGATGAGAAACTCAATCAATATCAGTCTTCTGCATATCTGTGTGTTACATATAAAACTTACTTTTAACTGGACTTATTATTAAATAATTAACTTTATAACATACTAATATACTTTGGACAGAGCCAGGCTAGCTGCTTCCCCCCTGCTTCCAGTCTTTATGCTAAGCTAGGCTAACCCAGTCCTGACACTAATTCTCATAAAGAAAGCAAATTGTTGTAGTTCCCAAAATGTTCCATCACTGTACATCAGTCAAAGCCAGAGCTTACTTCCTAGGAAGACCCTTTTCTGACGGATGTATCGTCTCCTGTTCAGCTCGAACACATTAGCTACATTAAAAACAGGAGTGATACTTAAGTTGTTTAAGCCGCAGTATCATTACGGAGGGACTAACCCTACGGTTGAAGAGTCCCGGTACACAATGTACAGTCCTCTGAGAGACGGCGAGAGAGAGGTAGTGATGGAGAGGCAGAGAGGAGGTTGGAGAGGGAGTGAGTGTGTGAAAGGGAAGAGAGGGTGAACTGTGTGTGCGAGAGTGAGCGAGCGAGCAGCGGAGGTCATTTATATAACCACAGTGATGAGACATCCATAATTTAGCCCTTTTAAATTGTGAACAAGACGGAGCTCCTTTAGCCAGACAGCGGGGTACAAGGAAACTGTGAAAAGACCTCTTATTAAAACTCATTTTCAAAGAATTACTTTGATTGTGACGAAGCTAATATTTAAACAATTAATCGTTGCCCTCAGTCCAGCTCGTGATGCCTCTGTGTCATTTATGAACTTAGCTTTTATTTTGAAGTCCAGTCGCTTTGTAAAGTGCTTGAAGAAGAAAGCCTATTATGGCTGTGATCATTGCTTTAGGGGCTGACAGGAATGACAGGTGCGAGCCACGCTGTTACATACTGAAGCAGAAGAGAGAAAAATAGGATTTCGTGTGCATCAATTACCCTCCTACCACTCAAATGCCCCCCCCTCCTCTCTTACCAAAAACCTCATTGACTCATCGCCATGGAAATGAGCCGCGGGGAGAAAAGGGCCCATCATCACCATCATCGCTGCCACGTCGGGCAGTGTGCCCACCGCTCTTTATCACAGGATGGAGCGGCTTCTTGAGAGCACTCTCGACTTCACCATGGAAACAGACCAATACTTCAGGCTGGGGGCGCATTTTTATAATCATCCTGAACCCCTTTTGCCCCTGAGTCTAGCACGCATATACATACAGAGCTTCCCAGTATCTTCAGTGAATGCAGCAGCCTCACTCAGCAGTGGGGGGCTGTCACATTAAGGACTTGACCACCACCAAAAGGGGGGGTAAAAAAAATACTCCATGACTGACATTGTTAAGCTCTGCATTCATTCAAATGCAATATTCTGATTAGATTTCACACAAATACAAATGTTCCATGATTATGTGGTCCTAGTGGTCAAAGAGCCTTCCCATCCTGTAAATAATGAAATTCACTGGGTCTTTGAAGTAGTGCTGCAGCCTTAAACCCCAAAGCATGTTAATTTAACTCACTTTTCCCCAAAACACAAGTCACAACTAGGGCATGAAATGAAGCTAGCTTGACTCTGGAAGTCCAGAGAAAGAAACACACTATATTAGGTACTGAGGTGTAATCATTTATATCAGCGGTTTCCAACCTTTTTCTATCATTGAGTAAACTGTCTAAGACATATTTTATGTATATTTCATATCATATTCAATGCATAACAATGAGCAGATTAAGCAGATTATTTCAGAGATGAGTTTTCCTTTTATTTTTTGGAACTTTTTATACAATTCTCTGTCTGTATTATGTATTATTCTTTATTTTTAACAATCATACACACTTGATTTGCTTCGCCATTGTTCTCTTAGCTTAATAGTTTTTTTAATGCAGGACGAGGCTGTTTATCCGACACTAAAGGCTCTGTGAATACAGCTTGTGTTCAGGTCTTCACAGTTCAGATCTTCAATAATAATAATAATAATAATAATAATCTTAACTTTAAAAATAAGAATTTTATTTAGTTCTCTTCACATAAATGAACAAAATGTTGACATATGAGTCAGAATAACAGGCTGCACTTCCCCAATTTGACCAGTTATTTAACAAGAGTGAGAGTTTCATGCCAACAAAGACAACAGACAGTCATGGTGAACACTTTAAGTTTGTTATGGAAAAATCTAAGCAGCAGTAGGTGTGCAGCCAGAAGCCCCAGACACACAGGTTCACTGCATATCAACTGATTGAGCAATTTTCTCAAGTGATTTGAATTTGCATGTGATCAACTGAGGCTTCTTCATTACTACCTCATCTTATGACTCTGTCCTGTAGCGGGGTCTTGTATCAAACTCTAGTTCTAATAACTTTATTATATTACTTCATGTTGTGGTGAAATGACGCATATTCCTTAATTTAGTCGTAATAAAATACCATAAAAGTAAATGACTTTTTATTGATTTTTAACATGTTTATGATTGATTTTCAAGTCATTTCTGTAAAGATCTTAGTCGGAACAAAGGAAAAGAGTTCATCAGTTCTTACTTATCTTATTTTGGCCGGTAAAAAAAACAAACTATGCTTCAGAGTGAGAGAGAGTAAAGAAACTTTACAAAGCTTTGCTGGTCGGCTGTAGTGTTGAAAAAAAAAAAAACAATATGGTAAAACACTGTCAGCTGTGGTTGCCAGACCTTTACCATAACAAATATGATAGAACCTTTCTACTATTATGGTAAAAGGATTTTAATACTCTCGATTTTAAGGTTAAAATTGGCGTTTTATTCCATATTTTTTAGTTTAAATGCCAGTTTTACCATTACATGAAACAATTTTGCCAAATGAAAATACCTAAAAGAGTTTTTTTCCCACTAGATGACGGTATCGTTTCTGTGCAATTAATAAAACGACTTTATTCCAGATGAATTCCTTTAAAATGATGATCTGATCTGTATGGTGTGAGCAGCAACACTGACATTAATAAAGAGTCATTAGTGTCACACAAACTCAGATCAGGTTTAAATCATTGTTCTCCTGCTGTCCTGGCTCACATTAAAACCTACAGTATGGCCTTTAAGATGTTTCCACTCTGAAGAGAAAAACACGGCCTTGGTGTAGATGGAAGGCCAAAACAGAGGGAATAATTAATATAATAATATAATCATTTCTCAATTTTCTGAGCATGTTGATGAGTTTCTCTGTTTTGGAGGACCCAGCTGTGTCCTGTACATCTTGTCCCATATTGCTCTTTTTTGCCTCGGTCTCTGGGTAAAGATGCCAGAGGCGTTTGGCCAGAAATCAATATGTCTGATCATGCAAAACTGCAAAAAAACCAAACTGAAACGCTGCATCCCTTCTTGTAACAATACAATTAGTTTTTCTCCCAATTAAAACCTGTGAAACCAGAATAGCTTTACCTCTTGTAGGAATGTTTGTGCTAAACATTGCTGCTAGACTTAGAGACAACATGGAGGAAGAATCCTGTTTATCCTCTCTGGACATGAGTGTCAATGCAGCGTGTCAGGACCATTACAGCATGGACAGACTGAGGTAGAAGGGAAAGGGACGTAGAGACTGAAGCAACCAGACAGGGGTGCTCCATCAATGAAAGTTTTTGAAATTGATTCAGTGGCTCCTGAAGAGATCTATTTTTGGCAGGATGGAACATCTCTGAGACAGCATTCATCATCATAGGCCACAAAAGCTATACAACAAAACCTGAAATAAATACATGAAAGAGGCCTTTTTTTAAATGATATTAGATATTTAATAAATATTGGCCTAACTGAGGAGAAAAACAAGGATGGAAACGAGTGTTTGTCTAGAAGGTCTCACAATGTGGTTCTTACTTTTATTGCTGCTAAACTGATTGAACATGAACAGAGGAGCTGACAGAAACACAGATACAGAAGCAAAAGGTAGAAAGTGTTTCTCTGACAGCTGCAGAGTTAGAGCGAGGTAAGTGGAGACACGGAGGGATGGCTGGAGTAACGGGGGGGGGGGATGTGTGAGTGCCGAAGGCATACTGCCACGTATCTGACTTATTGATTATGTGTGAAATCTCATCCACTCGACGTGGCTGCAAGGTGTGGAGCATTGGTTATTTATAGCAGGGCGTCCACTCTCACTCTTCCACGCTGCGGTCGGGATCGTTTGATCAATGCCGCATCCACTGGCTCTTCCCTCTGTCAGTGCTGCCCCCCCAGCGAGGGCTGACACAATATGCTATTGTTGTGGGGAAACGCCGGGTGATTGCATATTATAAATTCATTGTGGAAAACCAAACCGGTTTTTACTGTTCAGGTCAACGAGCGCGGAGCAGAATCTCCAGGCGGTTAACGGGCCAAGACACATACTGTGTACTCAAAATGTCACAGGTTTGAATCCAGCTTGTGACCTTTGTTGAATGTCATATCCTCGGTGCATTCAATCTTCACCAGTTATTCTGATATTGTGTTCTTCAATTAGGTCTTTAAAATGCACGCAGGAGGTAAGAGAACATGTGATCAGTTCTCCCTCTCAACCCAAAGTGGGGCTCGTGGGCCAAAGTTAGCCCGCCATGACATTTACATTGGCCCATCAGATATTTCTAGCAATATATGACTGTTCACTAGGGTTGGGCGATACGTTAAAGTGTTATAACTGGTCAGTCCAACAAATGCAGATATGTTCACCAATGCGCCAGCGCCCCACCGACGCCCCTTAATCACCACCTCAGCGGTTAAAGCTGGGAGGCGAGTTCACTACGTGCAACAAGCTCTCACAGCTTTAATAAATAAAATAAACTTCTGGAGAGCATAATGACATCACCTAACTATGTATAAATATCAATCATAGAAGCGACAGTAAATTATCCTGCCCCCAACAAGTGCAATAAAACTAACAGGAGAGTTTTCTACAGTAGCCCAGGAGAGACAAACCACACACTGGCTCTAGACAGGACCGTTTTCTCCATGTTTCGTGGGCATCATAGTTTCTACATCACTACATGCTACTACACTACTAGAGAACACTGAATCTTACACACTGGACCTTTAAATTAAGGACTAAACCAGCGACAGATAAGATTGCTCAAAATTATCCTGTAAAGCTTTACTGGACTGTTCCACAAGAGTAAAATATAGGATCTGAAATATAATTTTCTAACAATGCGTCAGCAACAAAATGAACCGATATTTCCCAATTTCCCCAAAGAACAACATCCGTTACTTCCCCTGTTTGGAACACACATTAAATCATAATTAGACAGTCGAGTGTATGCGTAGACTGTTGGTGGATTTAACTGTAGTGTGCAGACATGGAGGTCTGAAGCCACCAATGAACTGCCAGACAGTATAATAATAAGGTCTCTGTACTCAAATAAAGCCTGACAGCATTAAACCTTTCCCCTCATAATGTCACACATTGTTGAACCTGCAATTATTACAATATCAGTCTGAAAATGTTATTACATCACCCAGCATAATTGGTTTCATTTGCATATCTGACACGTTAGGGAGACATCTGAATAGAGTTTGACAACTTATTATATTGTCCGAGGGTTATTATATTGTAAGTTGGTAGAAAGTTGGTCGTGTCTTACCAAGGCCCAGCAGGTCCACAGCCGGCTCTGAGCTTTCCTTGGGACTGGCTCTAGACTCAGACTGCTGGGAAAGACAAAGACAAAAAACAAAGAGTATGTTAGTGTAATGTCCAATTTGCACCAGCCAATATGTGGTCTCAGTTTTACATTATTATAGACACTGGAATCGTGTGCAAAGATTTGAGCTGCCCATTTAAGTTTTGATACAGAAAACCTAAACTAAACTAAAATATACATATTAAAAAGTAATATATTAGAGAGTCAATGTCACCCATACGGACCATAAACCCAATTCTATTGCAGATTCCATTCATCACGGTTAGATTATGTAAATTATGACCATTTTCAGTATTCTAAAAATATTGATTAGTGCAGCTTTAATAATGCAGGGCCAAAATTTTGATTTGCAAATGCTTTATGAGGAAAGAAATCAATCAAATCAAGGATGCTCGCACCAAATTTTGGTGAGAAACACTAAATGTAAACTAACCAGGGGTCCTTTAATTAAGAGACTAGAAGAAGCTTCTACAGGGTGCCTCGCCTTTTTTGTGGTTTCACACAGGCAATATGGCAATATAAGTGTGATATCCTACAATTTATTGATAAAGGTAAAATGTGTGGAAAAATCTGCATTATAATGAAGTATGAATATTTGCTTACACCTTTCTGCAGTTTGTCAGTGGTATACTGTCTTGGCAATGTTGTTTCTGATGAGCAATCATACTAATTGAGTTTTTAAATTGAAAGCAAATTAAGGGAGTGGAATTGGAAAAAGAACGAATGGGGGAGGAATGCGAGCGAGTAAAAACTAAACTGAAGACAGACTGAGGGAGGTAGAAAGAGGGAGAGACTAAAAGTCAAAGGGTGGGAGAATGAGACAGGAGAATGAAGAAGGGAGGATGGGTCTAGATAGAGATAGAGTGAGATTGGGGAGACAAATGTGGTGAGGGAGAGAGAGTATAAAAGGTTAACACGTGGGCTATGAGAGATCTACAACGCTGGTAACAAACCCAATTTCCCCCCAACAAAAGATCGATGGACCACATTAAATTCAATGTCGTTCCAATCCGAGGCAATGAAAACAATTACCGTGTCCACGCCTAATCAACAATGCATTGGCTGTGAATTGATGTGTGTGGGGACTGCAGAGAAGCTCGAGCAGCAGCGGCGCGAATCGCAGCAGAAGGTCGTTTGTGTACGGCAGCAAAAGGTTGGTTTGTGCTGTGCTTTAATGACAGACAGTGAAGTGCAGTTAGCAGCCTGAGATACCTTCAAGGAACTCACTATTTATCGCAAATGGTTCTAGTTAGATTTGGCCCCCAAAAGAGGCAATTATTTGAGGAAAGAATCAGCAAATTTTGCCAGGAGAACAAATCCCCTTGATACAGAAACATTAGATCTGATTTAAGTGAAGAGTATAAGCCTAGCACATGAAGCGGTTGGGGTAGTGGAGGGAGACACAGCAGTCTGTAGACTGTGTACACCTGTATGAATACACCTGTATGAATCACTAAGCTGGTGAACAAGCAGCTGATACAAGGTACCATGAATCAACGTTGGAGCCACCCTTCCAGTGGGATCAGGATCATCCTGATTTTTAGCATCAAAACTATCCTGATCTCCACCTTTTCGAAATACCCAAAAACAACAACTAATCTGGAATCTGAGTAGGACTGGATTACCTAATTCATATCCAACGTTTGTAGGATCAGGATCACATCATCTGTTACTAACTTCACTTCTTCCCCGGAGTTCTTGTGCTTTCTCGTCTCGCAGGTTCTCATGGATCCTGGTCCGATTGCTAATATCACTGATATTATTGTTATTATTATTACAGATACTATTATTACTATAATCACTGCTCATTGTCCCCCATCATTGTTGTCGTCGTCGTCATCTTCTTCATGTTCATCACCATCAGTATTAGTGTAGTTGTTGCTACTGTCGTTACCTCTGTTCTCTCTCTGTGTGTCTCTCTCTCTCTCTCCCACCCACCTAGAGCCGGGGTCTGTCCAAGGTTTCTGTCTCTTAAAAGTAAAGTTTTTCCTTGCCACTGTCTCCAAGGTCTTTCTCATGGTGGTACTGTTGGGTCTCTGCACATAATGTTATAAGGAGTTCAGTCTAGACCTGCTCTGTTTGAAAAGTGTCCTGAGATAACTTCTGTTATGAATTGGCGCTATACAAATAAAACTGAATTGAATCTCCTGTTTTGAAATTTTCTATCCGACGACCTCTTATCTAGACTAAGGGTTTTGAAATACTGGACCCTGATGATACAGAGTACCTATCAATGGATCTCCCTCTTGTAATAATTTTCCTTTACAGTAATATGAGGGCAGGGATTGCTGTGGCACTAAAACTGTCTCACAATGGCTGAATGAATGTAACTAGTAGATGAAATATTACAATAACAGAGATGAAAACACTGAATTTAATGTTGTTGTTACGCCACGCCAACACTTGATATGCTCAATAAAGTCAGCATTGGTACCAATATATGGCAAATGACACCGGTGCATCGTAAACCCTAATCTTAAGAATTAGGGTACACAGTATTTTTTTTTTAATTTTTACTTTTGCACAAACAAAAACATATGCAAACCCTTATCCAGACTCATATTGGTCAAACCACAATACGAAATTCTACTCAGTAAAGCCCACACCTCCATTAAGAGGACAGCAACAAGAAAAACATTTTATGGCATGCCTGTCCATTTGATTTCAGACATCTCAGACCATGCACAGTGTTACAAAAATGAGATTACATAGCCTTTCAATGCTACAACCCACACAGCTGCTGTGAGACAGAGAAGAAAGAAATACGAAAATCCTAAATGTCACTCTGCATAAAAAGCTTAAATTCCCCGCTGTACGTTCAGAAGGATTTGTATAGACATGCTGCCAATATTCTTCTGGAAGCGCTGGCAGACGAGTTGGTTTTTCCAGTAGTTATCCTGGACGACACCGAGTGATGCAGCTGACAGACGGCTAGCGACAGACCGTGATTGGGTGTCGGGGTCAGTTGTGTTTCCAGACAGAGAAAGTGGAATTGGAGGGAAGGCTAGCAATCGATAACCACCAGCACACACACACGCACACACACACACACACACACACACACACACACACACACACACACGCCCCCCCAACAGGTGAATAGAGTCTTCGGTGACAACGGTGATGCCAGTTTGAATGAAAACCACTGAGCAAACCGAGTCCTCTGACGACTGCTGTCACATCAGATCGCTGTCAAACGCACGCCAGACAAAGCCATCAGCTGACGGCTGTCACACTGAACGTCTGAGTGAGGGCAAAGTCTGCTGTAAGCTCGTCCCTGATGTACTCAACGTCTTCTGCTGAAGACAAAATGGGTGACAGGGAGGTACTGTTGAGCCCCTTCTTTTACCACACAAGGCCCACAGCAGTTATTCCATTAGAACAACATGGCAGACAATGAATTCCAGCTAAGTTTTTTCATTCTGTCTTAAACCACTGTGAATGAAACACTTTCTGCCAATGTTTCACAATAAAAGCCTACCAGGAGAGTAAGTGATGCCCTTTGAACAGCTGGAAGGCTTTTAATTTGAAACACTTACGCAGGATTCTGTTCTGTTCGGTTCTGTCATTTTAGGTCGCTCTTATCGCTCTGATGTTCGTTCAAGTATTGATTTTTCTGGTTAGTTTGATTTTAATTCCATTATCTCAAAGTCAAGGATGGACTTCCGAACACTTAAATAAGAGCAGTATTTCTGTTAAAAAGACAAACTAACCGACAGAGTGCTGAGTATGACTTTAATAAATTGCTGTACTTATGGAATTGGTGTTGTGGAAATGTACATTATTATTATTTACCATGTGTACCCTATCCTTTTCTCAACCAAACAAGGTCACGATACTTGATCGTTCAAGATTTCCAAAAAGTCAACACATAATGTCACAAGATTGATTGAAAAGCCTTTTTATTTATTTATGTCACAACCAGCATGGAAACTAACGCCAAGGGACTCAGGAGGCAAAGAATTAATCAAGACGGGGAAGCTAGCTGCCAGAAATGGTAATACTGTATATAAATATTCATTAGGTACATGAAACTGGACCTAAAATCCCTCGGGTACCTGTGGCATCCTAATTACATCAAAGCATGAGATAATGCTATTATAAAAAGCGCCTGATGAGACGATAAGCAGCAGTCCGAAAGCAGGCAGCAGCTTGTGTATCTGGCATTTATGCTTCTGCATGCGGCTTATATTAAGTGGACTGCAGAGACTGACATCTCACAAGGAAAACAGCATACTGAACATGCACACAGAGGCATGACATTTAGTTTTTGTAGATCTCTAGCACCATCAGCACCTGCAGAACAACATTTCAGAAATATGTGGAAGGAAGAAAAAGGGAAGCGGCTGTCGAGGCGGTTGAATGACATTACAATAATGAGCAGATAACGTGGTTTTCATGGTGAAATTTAAAGGGCAGGTTTCTCAGGGAGGAATTACCCTGACCCCTTAGTTTCAGCCTTAAACTAAGGATGATTTACAATAGATATCGAATAACGAATATGGAATAAAAGGGAAACCAATCAACAGTGTATCAGTCAAATCCATACAAGTACACTGCTTACATTTAGGAACAGATTTAATATTTGTCACATGACATTCATGTACCACCCTGACAGGCAACGTATCTGTAAACAATTCAATGGACATACTGACTGTTATTTAGGCTTCCAAAGGTCTGCATAATCTGCGCTTTGACAACCATGTACAAGGAGTTATTCAGTCGTTTCTTATCAGTCCCTAAAATCAAACTGTTTTCGTCTCCCACTGACCCAGAGAAAGATTTTTTGTGCTTCCATTTCTCGATCATTGTAACTCCCTATATTTAGCACTTGGGCCAAAAAAGACGAAATGAAGCTGAACCAAAGCCTTTGATACTTTACCCCTTTCATTTATTAACTTCAAGAATACAGCTCAAAATTCGATTTATCACCTATAAGGCATGAAATGGATCGTCTCCATACTTAACCTAATAAGCAGATGTGTACAACCGTGCACACTTAGCAGA